CTTATAGTAAACAAAGCCGAAAGACCTTTGGTGTCCCTCTCGGTCTCTCGGAATGATGACCTTTTTGACTGGACCCGCCTGATAAGAGAAGCAAAAAAGTCATTTTCAAGTCAGAGCCAATTAATCTATAAACATCTACTTAAACACAATCAATTAACGTAAATTTACTTATTTTATTGTTCTGCTTAAAGCGATAGTTTGGTGAAAATCTATAACCATTTTCTCACATCTCAGGAAACTTCTCCACGAGTTTCTTGTAAAATGTCTCTCAATGTTCGACTTTTTGCGAGGCTGAACTCGCTTCTCATTCTCCAGCTTATCGTTCAAATTGTCCCATTCCACCTTAAATGGTGCCTGAGGCGCCAGATTGTACTGCTGAGCCATTTAAGGTGGAATGGGACAATTCTATCAAGAGGCAGGAGAATGAAAAGCGACTTCAGCCTTGCGAGTTGTTGCAGACTAAATGTATCAGGAAACCAGCCGAGTGATTATAAATGCAAATAAGTCCATTCATCTCCAAATGATCGATGTTTGTCTCAAACCTCTCTCTTTGCCTCTTCATTGTCTGTGTTGCTATGGTGACCAGCAGTCTGTGCTGATCTTCAGGGTTAAAGGGTGAATTAGCAGTTCTACGTTAACTCCAGAGTTTAAGACCATTTATTGTGAAAACTGTGTTAGAACTGTGTGTTATAATGATTTTACAGTAAAGGAGGATTTTGTTGTTATTTTACCTATAAATCTAGTTCTGCTGTGGAGCCGCAGCAGCTCTGCAGCAGTGGAGAGATTATTCAGGCCTGATTCTCACCCAAACAGAGCTGGGGTCACTGATGAGACTTTTGAGGCTGAAGTGTTGCTGAAGTTTAGTAAAGGACTCTGACTGTCATGTCTGTCTGTATCTTGCTGAAATGTTTAAATTGGAACAGTTTTATTTTTAACAGTTGGAAATGCTTTGCACAAAGTTGTCTGGTTTGTCGGTTATTTTTGTTGATTTTTGTTAGGAAAAGCCTGGACTGATGGACTTTGCCTTTAGTCTAGGGTTGGTTGGATATCAGGCCTTTGGGTGTGTAAGTCTGATTGTTCGTTACACCTAAACTCACTGTTTGTTGATCTTGTTGTAGATTTGCAGCTTTTCAGCTGTGTTTCTTTCTGGCTCGTGACTAAATGCAGTGTCTTGTTCACGCTGTCAGTTGGGCTTGTTTGGTGTGTCAGATGGAGATTCAACATTCGACAGTCGCGCTTTGAAAGTAGCTAAAAAGTAGCCACTACTTTTTCTGGAAAAGTAGCTAAATTGTAGCAGCTACAAATTTTGGGAAAGTAGCTACAAAGTAGTGGACTACTAATTTTTCAGTAGCTCTCCCAGCCCTGGACCTATGTCTCAGCTCTGGGTCATTTGTTTGGTTGCTGGTTTGCTGTGGTAGCCCTGTTAGCTTTTGTCAGCTGTGTGTCCGTCTCCTCCTGTTTAGTTAGAGTGATCCTTAGTTTGTCTACAAGTGTTTGTCTGGGTGTTTTGGCTGTAGACTCTCTTAAACGGGTGCTTTTCTCCTAGGAATAAGGGCAGGTTAAACTGTGAGAGCACCTCCATTTACATCAGTAGGTACTTCATTGTTTAAATACACTGGATTAGAGGCAAGTACCACTCCCTGTATGTTTGGTTAGCTTAGCATAGGGTGGCAGGTAGAGTTTTTAAGCTCTTGGCTTTGAAAAACAGTTTGTTTTGTTGATTTTCTTTCCTTTGCTTGCCTGCAGTCCCCTCATAGTGAGACTGCCCAGTATGCCAGTACATCTTTAACAACTTAACTACAGTAAATTGTTGTTTGTAGTTTAAATTGTTACTAGTTTGCACCTTATTTGTCTGTATAATAAAACTGCTAAATGTTTAACTGCTTTGTACTGGTCTCTGTACCCCTTTATTGTGCTCCTCCCAGAGCCGGTTTATGAGGAGTCTGGCCACGTCCTATTTTCGCCGTTATATCAAAAACATGACTGCAAACAGCAGAGGGCGCCCATGAGCGAGTCCTCAATGAATGGGAGTAAATAGAGCCCAACGGCTAAAAACGAAAATTAAAATAATTTCTAATCACTGACACAGAACTTAACCCATTCATTTTGGACTGGCTCGGGAGCGCCCTCTAGTGCTTGAGAACTCTCCTCTCTACAAGTTCTCTGCTCATCCATCCTCCTGTTACTGTGTTACATGATTACTCAAATGTATTTGATCAGCCAAGACACGCTTCATGTCATACTGTGTCCTAAACCATATCAACAAGCCTGTGTAACCTTAATGGAGACTTGGATGCAATGTGAGCAGTTTGAGAGATGCTTTTAAACTTCAAAAAGTAAGTAACCAGATTAACTCGAAATGTTGAGCTCATTAGAGTTAGCAGAGGAATCATCTGTGTTTTACATTTGTTAACTTATTATTTGTAGTTCAATAAACTCAGTATTTCAAGTTAACCCTGTTTCTTGCTGTTTTAAGTTTTAAAGCTGCATAATTTCTTAGAGTGCTTATATAAATTTAATAATAAACCATTAATTTAAAGTAAAATATAATACAGGGTGTCCCAAATAAATTTACCTCATTTTGCAGTCTAATAACAGCCAATTCTCCCTGAAATGATCTCAAATTTTAACAGAATGTGTAAAAACTAACCAAGTTTAATTTTAATGTTTTTTTTCAGGTTGAATGGCGTTCACTAGAAATGAAAAGGCATTGTGTGTGTTAGAATACGCTCGAACAGAGTCAAACGAGAGTGAGCAGCGGCATTTTCCAGAAAATTCATTAGAAATGCACCAACTGGAAAGCAGATTTGGACACGGCACAAAAAACTCAAAGAGGAAGGCTGTCTGTGCAGGACAGAGGGATCTGGACCACCAGTATTGGAAGATATTACATTTGTGAAGCTGTGAAATCGGTTATTAAATTTACATCCCTCTGAATTTCTTGTTCAAATTTTGATAAATAAATCTTGTGTTGTTCAACATGAAGCCTGTTTAATTTCGTTTGCCAGGACATGCAGCTACTCAGATACTCACATCTCAAATGATGTTGATTTTTTGGGACACCCTGTATATATAAAATATAATGATTTTTGCTCAACTTACCCATAAAATAATGTTCCGTCACATTAAGTGACAACATTTAAGTTTTCATAGTTCTGCTCTCGCTCATCATTAATTTGTGAGATCTCTAATAAACAGGCCAGCTTACTAATGAGGCTAATACAGTCTTATTACAATTACAAAACAGCATATAGACCAGTAAAAACCAGCCTGTTCTCAGTAACCAGCAGTGCAGCACTGTGAAATTCTTCACCTGGTACCAGCTGATGGGCAAACATTTCAGAGCCATCAATTAAACTGGTACAGACAGCACAGGTACAGTTTAGCTCATAACTAAGACCTGGTTACTTTTTCACAAAGCGGCTGCCTGTAGCTGTGAAGCTTTCATGTTTATAGCTCACAGTAAGTCATACTGTGACCTAAACCACCTCTCTAAGTCTACTCCACCTTAACGAAGACCTGGGCATGGTTTGAGAGTGCTGAGAGACGTTTTGGGGATGTATTAACGGAAAAGATTTGGGTGACTATTGATTTCTAGTGTTTACAACGTCTACAATGCCTCGTAGCTCCAGTGCTAAAATAAAGAAGCAAAATTTGGACACCAAACATGTCTTGGCTGATCGACTAATCTGGGTTCAGTATGACGTTCTGTAATTTTTATTTATTTTATTTTTTTTTGCCGAATCGTGGCCCAGACCTAAATTCTGCATAAAAGTCACTGAGATGTAATCAGAGAGATTCAGAGTGGTTTGGTGTGAAATGGTTCAGGTGTCTTTACAGTGGTGGTGATAGGAACCAGGGGTCGCCATGACTACAACACAAATATAGACATTTTATTTACTATCCAGAACCACCAGTGAACCTACACGAGTCTTCTGAGTTTATATGGAATGTTGATGATGAAAAATAGTGAAAAATCTGAAATAATAAGTTTTCTTTGGGGACTATTTTGCCTCACAGCGCCCTGCATATATCCCTCCACCATGAATGGAGTTTAAGTTCTCTAAACTATCATAAAACAGTGTCTCAGTCATCAGGCAGTGAATTCATAACCATTTCATGTAGGAACTTTCTGTGAGGGAGCTTTTAGAGGTGGACGTCTGGTTCCTATCAGCACCACTGTGAACAGTTCTGACTCGGTAAGTTTCTCTAGAATGGAGCGAAACCACTCTGCATGACTCTGAACCACTCTGTTTACATCTTAACCCCTTACTTATTTGGAAATTTTTAAGAACTGGTGGAATTTACAACAAGAAACTTCATTATCTCATTCTCACGCCTTACTAAATGTGGCCTTGTAATTTGTAATTAGTATCCTTGAAGTTTTGAACTTAAAACGTAAGCAGTAAAAAGTAAAAGTAAAAATAAAGAGTAAAAGTATCAGTTTTCAATTTCAATAATACTTGAGTAACGAACAGAACCTCCAAAATAATGCTTAAGTACTGTAACTAAGCACAATTACTTAAGTATTTTCCAGCCCTGCTCAGTTTCTACTGGCACACAGTAAATACCAATGAAAGTGGGCCAGTTAGAGCTGACCAGAGAACCAATTAACTCTGCCAGAGAAATTGAGAGCCAATTAAAGTTTTATCCGTCGTGTATTATTTTTTATAAATGCAATATTCCAGCCTACCATAACCAGCTGATCAACAGCTGAGTTTTAAACAAAGATCAAAGCCTAATTTCAGCTCAGCAACAAATGACTCAACAGATCTTAGCAGATCAGACCCTACCTGCAGAAAGAGCTCGTACAGGATCTCCTCCTTCACACAGCTGTGCAGGTTACTCACGAACACGGTCTTATCGATGTCGCCCTGAGTGTCCAGCATGGTTTACAGCACCAGGCCGAGCCTGAGATGAAGCAGCAGCTCCTTCAGCAGCATTAGCGGTCACCTAGCAGGAGTTAGCCTCATTGAGAGGGACGGCAGCCTCCAGTTTGGTCGTGGAGAAACAACTGAGTCACGACAGCGCAGTTCCACAGCGGCGCAGCAGAGGGCGCTGCAGCATCGCTGCAGTAGTCTGCAGCTCTGGTCCTGGAGGTCTACCTTCCTGCAGAGCCTAAGTCCAGCCACAGTCTGCCTCACCTGCTCCAGATAATCGACCTTGTATTGTATTAGACGTGTTAGAGTTAAATGAGGGGTGGAGCAGCTTTTTGGATGCAGGTTGGAGTCTCACTGCTCTAAAACGTAAGACTGCATGGATGGGCATTTCAGTGGAGAGCACGACCCTGAGGAGAAGGTGGTCAGTCATAACTGAGGACATGGGAGTAAATATTGAGGTAAAGGTCTCATTTACCAAACACATGGTTCTTCAAGGGTTCTTTAGTAAGGAAAATGGTACTATAAAGAACTGTGAACACCCAAAGAACCCTTTGCATGGTTAAATTGGTTAAATGGTGAAATGGTTGGAGAATGTGTTGTATATGGTTCTATATAGCATCAAAAAGAGTTCTTCTGTTGTTACAATGCCATGCTTGTAGCAATAGAACAATAGAAGAACCCTTTATCATGCACCCTGAGAACACTTACTGATGCAAAGGGTTCTTTGAGTGTTTATAACACCAAACAACACAAGTAACACTTTCACATAGCTATTATCAACAGACAACAACATTCTCAGCACTGCAGTAACACTGACATGGTGGTGGTGCGTTAGTGTGTGTTGCGCTGGTCTGAGTGGATCAGACACAGCAGTGCTGCTGGAGTTTTTAAACACCTCAGTGTCGCTGCTGGACTGAGATTAGTCCACCAACCAAAAATATCCAGCCAACAGCGTCCTGTGGGCAGCGTCCTGTGACCACTGATGAAGGACTAGAGGATGACCAACACAAACTGTGCAGCAGCAGATGAGCTATCGTCTCTGACTTTACATCTACAAGGTGGACTGACAAGGTAGGAGTGTCTAATAGAGTGGACAGTGAGTGGACAGTGTTTAAAAACGCCAGCAGCACTGCTGTGTCTGATCCACTCAGACCAGCACAACACACACTAACACACCACCAATACCGTCAGTGTTACTGCAGTGCTGAGAATGATCCACCACCCAAATAGTACCTGCTCTGTGAGGGTCCATGGGGGTCCTGACCACTGAAGAACAGGGTAAAAGGGGGCTAACAAAGTATCAGAGAAACAGATGGACTACAGTCTGTAACTGTAGAACTACAAAGTGCACCTATACAGTAAGTGGAGCTGATAAAATGGACAATGAGCGCAGAAACAAGGAGGTCATAATGTTATGCCTGATCGGTGTATACTGTTTTACATCTGTCATCCTTATATTTTTAAAAATATTTCCATGTTTTACTCCACTTAGCTTTGGCTGGTTTGCTAAATGCGAGATCAGTGAGATTTCTGTGAGGCTCTGTATTTAAGTCACCTATAATCTGTCAGTGTGTTTCATGTTTCTGTGTTGATGTGTAAAGTTAAGTTCTTGTTGAAATTATTTTTCTCCTATCTTTATGTAATTAAACATGTTTAATTAAAAGCAAGTAATCCAAAAGTAACAGAAAGTAGCCAGATTACATTCTGTAATATAATAATCCTCTGGATTAAGTTGCAATTACATGTTTTAACAGGTAATCAGTAATGAATACATGTTTAAAGTCCAGTGTTTAGAGTCCAAGAGCCTGAGAGTCGAAGCTGAAGTGTGCATGTATGAAATGTCACCATAATCCAAGACAGAAAGGAAAGCATCCTTCTACAAAAGCATGTTTTGTTTCTATAAAAGAAAAGTGTTCAAAAGTCCAAAAGTATCCAGACAGCCCTCCTAATGAGTGAACACAGCTGCTTTAAGGTCCCACATTGCTGACAGGCTTTATAATCTCCATAGAAAAGCGCTGACCAGTGGAGTGGGACGCTCTGGAGAAGCCACACATGAGCCTAAGGTCACCCTGCCCGGTGGTTCTGTGTTCTCCGGAGTAATGGAGCTCCAATACCTTTGGGATGATTTTGGAGTGGCGCTGGTGATCCAGCTGAGACTTGCATCTCCCTGAAGCTGATGGTGTTCAGTTTCATCAGGCGCCTTTTCTAGACAGAGCAAGGTGAGTTTACCTGTACAGCACTTTTCATACACAGCAGCCATCCGAAGTGCTTTACACAAATGGGTCATTCTAGAGAAACGTTCATTTTTGTGTCTCTAGCGTTTACAGATATATTACACCTGAAAAACATGTTAGGGTTTAATTTTTTTTTTTTTTACATTTTCAAATAAATAAATATGTTATTTTAACATTTACATCTTCCTCAGTCGTCAATTTAGCAATATTGGTTTCTAAATCAATTATCTAGAATTCCAATCACCACAGAAGAGCTCGTCCTCACAGTCATGTGTGAAGGCTGGGGACATATTTTGAAGAAAAAAACACACTTTTCTGTAATTTTAACTGCAACAATCTATACATGACTATGAAATATATAAATTAAATGACATAAATATTATAAATATATAATGAAAGTTGTGATCTCCAGGAGTTGTGTCACTGGTGTTACTGCGTAACAAAAAATCTCTTATTTTGAAATAAAAGTCACACTGATGACATCACTTGACTTCCTTTTACCTGTTTTCTGAGGATCTATGAAGAAGTCTCTGGTGTTCCTTTATTTTGTGGAACACCAATGAGGATCAGTAACACCAGTGACTCCTATGGAGAGATAGAACAGTGAACGTTTCTGTAGAATGACCCAAAAACAGAAAAATAAAAGCATTAAATTATACTAATAAAGCCTATGACATCCTGTGATCCAGCACCTTAGAAAGGCTTTTGCAAAGATGATGACAAAAAACATAATAAAAAAATATGAAGTACATAAACAGAATAAAACCATAAACAGAGGACTTGGGAGTTATTAAATGAGCTTATTAAGGTTAAAGTGTGAGTCTTAGAGCTCAATTACAGACACAAGAGGAGAGAAACGTTTTTACCCTGGGTTAAAAATGGCTAAACACATCATACGTCATCTACACTCTTATAAAAAAAGGTTCTTCAAGGGTTCTTTAGTAAAGAAAAAGGTTCTAAATAGAAACATGGGCACACACTGAAATTTTAAAGGGTTTTTCAAATTGATGGAGAATGTGCTGTAGATGGTTCTATATTGAACCTTTTTGAAGGGTTCTATATAGAAAGATTGTTTTTTAAGGGATCCTTAGTAAAGAAAGTAGTTCTATATAGAACCATGAACATGCAAAGAGCCCTTTAATTATGCAAATGGTTCTCTGAGTGTTCATGGTTCTGTATTTTTTAACAGTGTATTATACAACTGTTTCTGGTGTCATGCAGAACCTTTTTCAAAAAGGTTCTAAATAGAACCATCTACAGCATGTTTTCTATCAATGTAAAGAACACTTTCATGATGCAAAGAAGAACCATTTTTACTAAAGAACCCTTGAAGAACCATCTTTTTTTAAATGTGTAAGGTTTTCTGGCAGTTTGTTTCAGTTGTAGCAGCATAATGACTACATTATTATTATTATTATTATAAAGTGCCATCAAGTCAATTACAGCTCCTGGTGACCATCTGGACAGTGCTCCTCCAGAGTGTCCTGTCATCTTCTGGTTGGGTCTTCAGGTCTCTGAATGGCTGGTTCATGGTTCCTCTGATTGTCTCCATCGATCCTGCTGCTGGTCGTCCTCTTCTGCCTTTAACACCTCCAATCATAAAACCCACTTTTCTCAACTTTTAGCATTTGTGTCTGAAACTAAAGGTCTAGCTCGAATGGTCAGCTGGTCAAACGTGCGTCTAACTGGCAGGAGTGAGAGAGTCTGAGTAGATATTTCCAATATTCGCATGATATAGACATGAATCCCAGCACAGGGGTCGCCACACTGAAACAAGTCTGATGAGTTTTTCCCTGTATGTAATTCCTGTTTGAGCCTGCAGAGGGCACTACAGGCTCAGAAGAGCACTTCAGGTAGCGCATGCAGAGATGTACACATCAGTACACAACATCTCTCTCTCTGTCTGTCAGTCAGTCTCTCTCTCTTTCTGTCTCTCCCTGTGGGTCTCTGGGTGTCTCTCTCTCTCTCTCTCTCTCTCTCTTTCTTTCTCTCTCTCTCTCTCTCTCTCTCTCTCTCTCTCTCTCCTCTCTCTCTCTCTCTATCAGCCTCAGTGCTGCTCGTCTCTCAGCATTTGACTTACTGCTCTCATTTCTCCTCATCACTGCACATCCATACACAGACAGACAGACAGACAGACAGACAGACAGACAGACAGACAAGCAAGCTGGGAGAAAAACAGTTGACCTCAACGATGCGCCTTTCACTGCAGTGCAAGACAAATACAAACATCAGAATCAGCATCACTTTATTTCACCAAGTATGTTACAGATACAAGGACTCAGTCTTGGTGAATCACACGTGTGACATTAACACACTGAACAGACCAGACAAACACAGACAGTAGCCACGTTTACATGCAGCCTAATAATCCGTTAATAATCCGACTAATAGCTCAATCAGAATAGAGTCCATGTAAACACCTCAGTCGGAATAGTCTAGTCCGATTGAGGCCATTCAGAATACAGTCTCTATCCGACTGATCGAGGTGGGTAATCCTGTAAATAATCCGTTAAATAGAAGAATAATATCCGTGTAAACGCCTGTATCTGATTACATTCCCTATCGGAAAGTTTAAGTCCGTTCTGATCATGTTCGTCGCGTCAAAGTGAAAGTTTATACCGTTCAACATGGCGGAGCAGAAACTGGTCTGCAGAGGAGACGAAGTTCATGCTCTGATCTTTAAAAGACGGCGGTGGGACGGACGTCCAGCTTATGTGTCTCAGAACACGACGTCTTCCTCTCGGCCTTCTTTAATAAGGACATGTGAAGGACGTTTTCCTGAGTCTGACATCATTTTAAAGCAATTAAAAACACAAGCACTGCTCACTGCTGCTCATCTCACTCTGACTGGACTCACGTGATGTTCGCTGTCATGGTAACGTTTGC